CATTAATAGTTGCAGAGTTGTACCTGGATTTATACAGGTCTCAAGGCAGTTTTTACGAGTAAGGCATTCATTACAGAAAGACAAACAGTAAGTCAGATAGAAAGACAGATAGAAAGACAAACAGAAAGACAGACAGGCCAAGATGCAAGACAAACAGACAGCAACAGATGTCTGTATGCGAGAACTAAGGCAAAACATCAACATATTGATGATAGATATATAGAGAAGATAGAGATAGATAAAAAGATAGATAGATAGATATATAGATATATATGATAGATAGATATATAGATAGATAGATAGATAGATAGATAGTTAGAAGAGGATCTGCTTGCATACTACATATCGGCATATATACAATATACAGATAGCAGACATCAATGCACGCATATATTCAGATATTCATTTCATTCAACAACTTCACAGACGTCTTTATAGTTGGTCAACAACAGACGTAGTCAAATTTGTACAGATAGGCGTCCTTCGTGTTTCAACAACAGCTTTTCATTGTATTTAAATCAGGCATATTTTTATTTTAAAGATGTTGTCATTTTGTAGCCTGAAATAGTAGCCATCGAATTTCAAGAAAGGGCGTGTACTTTGGATGTTAGCAATAATCTTCATTTGTTTTTAAACAATAGACATCCCATGGATTTAAGCTACAGACGTACTTTGTATCTAAACAGGAGACGTCCTTATTATTAAAGCTTAAGAAACAGCCTTCCTATTTAATCAAGAGACATTCTTTGTATTTAAACAATAGACGTCCTTTGTATTTAAACAAGAGACGTTGTTTGTATTTAAACAAGAGACGTCCTTTGTATTTAATCAAGATACGTTCTTTGTATTTAAACAAGAGACGTCCTTTGTATTTAAACAAGAGACGTTCTTTGTATTTAAACAAGAGACGTCCTTTGTATTTAAACAAGAGACGTCCTTTGAATTTAAACAAGATACGTTCTTTGTATTTAAACAAGATACGTCCTTTGTATTTGAACTACAGAGTACAGAACTCAAAGACCAGGTGTTCTTTACATTTTAAAAACTTATAACAAAACGTCCACTTTTTGACGTCCTTAAAATGAGAGCAAGACCCCTGGATGATGATCTAACCGTTGAAACAAAGGCTCTGTAAAGGCAAATTGTATTTAGATAATTTAGTTGATAATCTTAAATGATTTAAAATGATGACCTAATATAGAGATGTTAGTTCTAGCCTATTATAGGTGGAATTTCTGTAAACACTCATTACATAAATTCATCAATATTTTCGCTACAGAGAATATACAGAGGGACCCACAATCGATAAGACTTCAGATTCAAAATTTATACTGTCTGTTAACTTACTAGTTACACTCTTACTTCACTGCAACTGTTAACTGTTTTCTTTCTTTACCGAATCATTAAATAAGCCAATTAAATCAAAGCATACGACATAAATAAATCTATAAATTGTCACATTTTTATAGTTTCAAGTCGCCTGTACAATCTCATTCTTTGTGGGTAACCCTGTACAGAGGGGCCCACAAAGAATGAGAGTGAATGTACAATTCGGAAAAGGTTAAATTTGTAAAATCATAATTTTTTTGTTGTCCTTCCATGTAAAATACTAACTTATTAGGTTGCAATAAATAAATTCCATTATTTTTCCACAATAGCTTTATTGAAAAAAAGATCTATGGTAAAATAAATTTTAATCTCTTCCGTGAAATTTACCTGTTTGACTTGGAATATTTACAGATGCATGATTTTCTTAGAAGGACTCAAAATTCTGAGATTTCATTCTAAAAAATTATGTCCGTCTGCGATGTACAATATTACTTCATAACAAACACCCCCCCCCAAAAAAAAATGGTTGTTGCGTCTAACTTCTGAATTGATTGAACGCTAAGGAGCAAGGTTGTAAAATAAGGTTACTCACGAAGCGCTCCATGTTTGGAAAATATCGTCTACTAAGGTAGATAGATAAAAACCTTATACGAAGTCACTCTCGCCTTTATAAATAGTGACTTCATATGAGGTTTTTATCTATCTCAGGAGACGACATTTCCGTACATAGGAGCGCATTGAGAGTAACTTCCCTTATTCTATAACCTTGCTAGGGAGTGAGAGAGGATGACCTTAAGATTTAGCCCAATCCGTCAAGATGCCGTCAACCCTGTGTTTGCTTGTAAATAGGTCTCTCCAGAGCTCCATAGGCGTCTCAGGGGGGGTTATGGGGGCTTGCCCCCTTTCCCTGGATCATTAAAATGTATGGTTTACAGGGGGTTTCTAGGCCCCAACGGGTGTTGTGCCCACCCCCCTGGAAAGAGAAATTGAGCCCCCCTGGACAAATTCCTGAGCACGCCCCTGAGTCTCTCTGTGCCTAGGTTGGGCTCCCCCCTTATACAAGCATACATCTACAATATATCTACAGGGTGTCCCAAAAAACATGGGAATTCAGTGACGAATTCGATATCGTCTTTGTTATGAATTAGCATTGTTATACCTGATTTCACAAGCCATAATATTATTATGTCTGCTAGAGTTTACTTAATGAAAAAGGTAAATGGCTGTAAAGATGTGTCTATAATGTCTCCGCAAGATGAACAGTGAAGACGGACAAGCTTACTCTGTTTGTATACTGTAATTTTCTTGTTTTACTATAAGTACAACCGTATACGGTCAAAACATAAACAAACAAAATGTCAACATAGCAGACGAAACTCTTACAAATTACAGCTTTCTCAGTAGGTATCACTATACTAAATCAAAGAATTATTTATAAAGACGATATCGAATTCGTCACTGAATTCCCATGTTTATTGGGACACCCTGTACAATATATCTACAATATATCTACAATATATCTACAATATATCTACAATATATCTACAATATATCTACAATATATCTACAATATATCTACATATCGGATTCCCAATGTTTGTTAAACTAAAGTTAGGATTATACAGAGTTATCAACAAAACATGACACTTTAAAGAAAACTATCTGAAGGTTATATTCGAGTTTTTGTCCAAATTACAGCCTTTTACTGATAAAATAGATAATTTGACAAAGAATCGATTGACACAAATTTGTAAGTGTAAGAAAAGTGTAAGAAAAGAGTAAGAAAAGTAACAAATTCTGTGCAGTCTTATCCTTTGTGGGTAAATTTTTATCGCTATTCGGTACTGCAGTTTATGTAAGTATTAATATTCGGTACTGCAGTTTTGTAAATATTAATATTCGGTACTGCAGTTTTGTAAATATTAATATTCGGTACTGCAGTTTTGTAAATATTAATATTCGGTACTGCAGTTTTGTAAATATTAATATTCGGTACTGCAATTTTGTAAATATTAATATTCGGTACTTCAGTTTATGTAAATATTAATATTCGGTACTGCAGTTTTGTAAATATTAATATTTGGTACTGCAGTTTATGTAAATATTAATATTCGGTACTGCAGTTTATGTAAATTTTAATATTCGGTACTGCAGTTTATTGAATTATTAATATTTGGTACTGCAGTTCATATAAATATTGATATTCGGCACTGCAATTTATGAAAATATTAATATTTGGTACTGCAGTTTATGTAAAAATTAATATTTGGTACTGCAGTTTATGTAAATATTAATATTTGGTACTGCAGTTTATGTGAATTGTAAATATTAATAAACATCAGTTACTAAGCTGTGATTTCACAAGACAGGCCTTGCCTTTGTTTGCAATCTTTGTTATTGTTTTTACCTTAAAACAATAAATTCCTAAAACAGGGTTACCCACGCAAGATGAGACTGTAAAGACGACCTGGAAATCTTTAAACATGATATTTGTATGGCTTACTTAATGAGTAGGCAAAGAAAGAAATTATAATTGCATGGAATCAATTAAATCCAAGGAAACAACCAGAATAAATTTTGCATAGTTGTCTCTGAAGTCTCATCCCGTGTGGGTAACCCTGTATGTCACAGCAAATGTATAATTATCACCTCACCCTAACTCTACATTTTATATTATGTTATTTTTACTCGATCATTATAAAGTTGTGCACGTATAATTATACTTGCTGAAGTGCCCGGCGTTTCCCGTGGAATAAAAAAAAACATTTTATTAAAATTTTAGTCTATGCAAGCCCAAGGATACCACTGGGCTCCCTTAAAAAAGTGTCAACCCATTCATTCAAGCCGTTTGGCCGGCTATAGGGAACATATATACGAATATCCTGTTTTAATATGTAGACAGGGCGTCCCATGAAACATGACAGTTGGTGAATAGTTTTGAATGTCTTCTTCCACATACTGTATTAGATATTAAAGACTTTTTGTAATTTATTTCTTTAAAAAAAATATTTGACTTTGAAATTAATTTTTACCGTAATAACTGTCACATAAAAGTTGTTATTAGTCTCTTTAGTATTAAACTAATTATGGAAGAATACATTTTGAACTATTCACCAACCGTCATGTTTCGTGGAACATCCTGTACTTTAAAAAGATGAGACATTAATGCGACCTTAAGCTCATAAGTATTTCATGGAGGGGGACGGGGTGCGGGGTGGGGGTCATATTTATTTTCGTCATTTAAACCCACATTTTTCTTGTTCTCACTGTATTCAGTTATTAATTTTTTTTTTTTTAAGAAAAACATTTATTAAAATCTACAGCAAATTATTATTACAATTATCATGAAAAATATTAAGCTAACATCTTGAAAATAAACTGAAATATTACAAACTGTTCTGAATAAGCTTAATTCATTCTTACTGTCCTACGTCTGCAACTTGTCCCGTTTTCTATTATATAACCAAAGAGAATATTCTCTATGTATATAACCAAAATGTGCGTTAAACAATGTATGCATTTTATACCAATATTTGCTATGGAACTTCATCTTTTCAACATTTAATTATTTTTAATTAAAATTTTTTTAATTATTTGTTATAGATCAAACAAAAATTCTACTTTAATAAATTTTGTGATCATTTTTTTTATTCATTCTGCATTTTTCGTAAAAAAATTATAAATAAATAAATTGATAAAGTTAAAATTCATTCTGCATTTTCTTCTTTTGTGGACTCTCCCTTTTGGCAATTTGGTGGGGTTGGAGATTCACATTTATATCACTTGAAAGGAAAATTTATTTGGTGTACTGTCCTGTTTTTTCGTGTGTAGTCTTACTTACTTACTACCTAAAAGTCGGCCCGATGCTTCAGAACCAGATTTTTCAGTGAGACCTATTTATAAGTAAAATGCAAACATTAAAAACTTTATAATTCGATATACAATAATAAAACAAGTTTAATTTAAGTATCAATAAGAGGTAAAAAACAAAACTTATTTTTTTCAATTTAAATATTTATTTATATAGTTAAGGGGGACTGGAAATATTAAATTTCGGCCAGGATTTTTTTTAATCAGTAACATTTTATATCAACATTTATTGGATTTTTATTTCGCAAATTTTATGTTTTTTAAATCGCACATTTTTATGAAACTTGAATTAGATAAATCTATAAATCCAACCGTTATCATTTGGAAAATTATTTGTTTTTTTTGTTATATTTTTACTTTTTTATTTGAGGTTTAAATTAAAGATTTTTTATCCCTAACTTTGGGATAGTTGCATAAATAGATATTTTTTTCTTACTTTTTAGTCACTTTACTTGAACTGCAGAAGGATGATAATATATGTGAGAATAGTTCCAAAAATACTGGTGAGTGTAGATCTTTCAACATTAAACATTCCGAAAGCTGTGAAAGGTCCTTCCGCCTAAATAATTAGAGTTGGACTTTAAAAAAATCATTTTTTATACGGATTCACCCCAACGTTAACGCATTCAAGATTTAAATCATCATGAAGTCATTGAATTAATCCTTCATTCACCCCAAAGTTAAATCACCATGAATTAATTCTTTATTTATAAACCAAACAATTCTGTTTTGGTCTAATTAAGACAGAGTGTGAAGTATTCCCCCCACCCCCCACCCCCCTTCTCATGAATTTTTAAGTAAATTTTAGATCTGCGTATGCAGCTCAAATGAATAAAATTTATGGACTGGTTTAGACTTGCGCATTTCTTCTGCAGGAAAACATATTGGAATTATCAAATTTAACACCTAGAAAAACGACAATATCTTCCACATTATTAATCGGATAGAAGTTGCAAGATACAGTTGTAAATCTGGCATTGCAATCTTTACAGTCCCATGTTTAAGGTGCCCTCTACACTACACCTCTACCTTTTCTCTTTTTGTTCGTTCATCGTTCGTAAACGACCTGTTTCGTTCGGTTTTTTTTTCAATTGTTAAAAAAAAATTTAATTCATTCTCGAAATTATCGTTGATTTTTCATTTATATTTTGATCGTTTTCTCACTGAACGATCGTTTAGTAAAATGGTTCCTCCAATAAAATCGTTTGCTCAGTAAAATAATGATAGTTCCTTCAAATTTTTCAGAAAAAAATAGTTCGTTTTTAAAAAACGATCATTTCCGCATTTCTCTGAACGATCCTTTTTTCGTCCATCGTTCGAATTTTTCTTAACGACAGCCCTATTTCACAAAAAATGTTGTTCGTTCAAAAAAAACTGATGCCGTCTCTACTGCGGTTCCCTATTCCGCTTTAAAAAAATGCTTCCTGACAAGGTAGAAAATCAAGAAGTTGTCCAGCCCTCACCTGAATACAGGAAATAAGCCTTTTCCAGTTTTCTGGATTTTCAATATCACCACTTTGCAGATCAATTAATAGTGATTTCAAACTCACATAAACATCATCTAGGACATAGGCTATATAGGCCAACTCAAGCATTTCATTACAAGCCAAGATTGCATAAGGCAGATAGCCAGTGATAGTTTGATAGATAGTTATGTTGAGCAGAATAGTTTGAGATGAAAAAACTAGAAATATCAAGGGTTCAACTCCATTCTTGAATCTGGTAAAATCTGCCATTACTTGATCAAGGTTTCCTGCAGAATATGCACGATCTAGTTTGTCTCGAAGATATGACGCAATTGCACCGATTAAAAAAGTAGATACGAGTCTTACAAACGAGAATACAATTCCAAAGCCGATAAAAAATAGCAATTTATACCCTTCTCTGTAGAATGGTTCCATTGAAACGATGTTGTAAACGGTAAAAACGATCTGTGAAGTTACAACCGCGAGGAAAAGTAATGGTCTCTGCTGTTTCGGCAATTTTTGTTCAAACACAAAATCCTTGCTATTCTTCATCAAAAAGGTCACAGCAGGCAAAGTTAAAACAAGTTGCAAAGGAATAATGATATCGGAGGCTATGGTTGAAAACAAGTCTGATTTTGATAACTGTTCGCAACTGGCTTCAGCTTCCCAATCGAAATATGAGAACCAAGGTGCTAGTGCGCAGATAATGGTGAAGTAAACTCCTAGACAAATATTATCTACCCAGGCTGGTCCTCTTCCAGGAATTATCCTATTGACCAAATTTAGTGAATTTGAAATGCTAACCGCCGCAGGTTCACGTTTGAATCAAAGATTCAAATCCTAAATTTTGAATCAATGGTTTAAAGGATCTGTGTGTTTGTTACAAACTTTGATTCTCTAATCTTTAAATCTGTAGAACCCAATATTGTTGATATTTGATATTTCTAACTGTGAATTATCTTCTAAGTTTGAAAAAGTAGGGTTTACAACATCAAAAATATAGAGATTGGAAAAAAATCAGTTCCTTTGAACTGGTAGTAAAGCTAGTAGCTCAAATTCATTAAATTTTGCCCCTGGTGAATGTGAGGAAATTTACAATGGTTGATGTTAGTGTCCTCTCACTCCAATACATTGTTGTTTACTAAAGGTTCAACATGTTACCACAGTGTGTTTTAAAGGGATTGTTCAAAAATTTGGTAAATTAATGTTTTTATTTTTTTCTACAAAAACACAAATATAAATACACATTTTAAGTTTTATATGACATAAATTGATTTGTAGGAGAACCAATCAAGCCATTATTATTATGGCTGTCTTTGATGATTGGCCATAGTAGGACTAGGAGGTGCAGATCATTTTACTGTATTCTATAGAAAGCAGGGGCGTACGAGGGGGGCCGCGCCCCCCCCCCGCCCCCCTCTACGCGTTCCCCCCCCTGAGAGGCTGAGGGGGGGCACCCATGGGAGAGGCTCTTCTAATATTACATCTGCTTGCACTTCACTTCCTCAGGTCAGGCACAGTGGTGTACCCAGGGGGGGCAGTAGTCCTCTTGCCCCCCCTGGGAGTTCCAAAAATACAAAATTAAAAGGAAACTACGTTTAGAAAGTAACACTTGACAATGAAAAAGACTAAGGATTTGTCTGAATTCACTCTTAATACAAGGAGAGAAAAGTGTTAGCCTTATAAAGAGAATACTTCATTACACAAGATGTACTATGACGGAGAGCAGACTTAACGATCTTGCACTTATAGCTTTACACCCTATAAGGCTGTCTGAGCTCTCTACTGAAAAAATATAATTTTTAATGATGCTGTGATCATTGATTTAGTTAGCTGTGATGGAGTTAAGTGATAAATTTATAAAGTCAAAAAGTTAGTTTTTCAAGCAAAGGAATAATTTTTAGACTCTAAGGTTACTAACACCCAAAAATGTAGTCTTTTTGGTGTATTTTTATGGTGAACAAAACAAGTCCAGGTGAGAGGGGGGGGCAAAAAAAATTAAAAAAGGTATTAATATTTTTTCAAAAAAGGGGTTTTTAAGGGGGGCACAATGTTGCCAAGGGGGGGGACCAAAAATTTTTTTTTACGCGCTTACGCGTGCAAATTGTGCCCCCCCCCCTAACAAAAGCCCTCGTACGCCCCTGATAGAAAGGACTTTTGTTTACATTTTTAATATAATCCTTATTAAATATATCTTTTTTAATTAATATAGGAAATAATCCCTTTATTTTTGCAACCTGATGGTGTACACTTTTGATATTTCAAACATAGATCTAACAGATATTATAGTTTAAAATATCATAGGTATACTGCATTGTGTTACAAAGAATATTGAGATTAGAAAATCAGAAAATCTCATAAAACTTAAAAATTATTTGAATAATCGGAATAGCTGGAAGGGATTAAAAGCAAATAAAATGTAATCGCATCTTCATAAACTTATAGAAAGCACTATTTTTGGTCGAAATATTTCATGTTTTTAGTCAAAAAAAATATATAAAATAAAGTATAATTTCTTGCATTCTGGGCGTGAGCTGAAAATGAAGGAGTTATTAGTCACAAAGTCGAACTTTTGTTGAGATTGACTTGAGTGTCTAAAAAATACAGGCAGAACAACTTTCGTTATTCGTATATTTAGAAATTAGAATCCTTTCTTCATGTATTGATACCAGGGGGCTGGATCTTAAACTATGGCCTATTCATACAGTACAAAGATCAAATATGCAGTACGTGTTCGGAGTACAAGTGTATGGGGAGGTTTTGTATCTTGAATTTTATTCTGTTTTCTCAGAACCGTTTATAAACGATGAATATTGCTCCGTAAAAGACTGTAATAGTAGGTCTTCAAAGGAGTAATGAATTTTAATATTTACATTGACAGCAATCCATTTGAATATTTTCAGAAATCACCCCCGAGTACTGTAATATACAGATTGACCATTAGAGTACGTGGCATGTACTATAACCTCGTTGATTGGTACCATATTACGTTACCTAATTTTTGAACGATCCATTTCACCAGGTTTTCTTCCTTTAATCATAGATTAATAACAATACAGATAAAACACTAGATATCGTATTTTGTTCGTTCAAAATAACTCTAAGGCAGAGGCCCAAAGAAGTTACGCGTATGCCGCGTTGAACTACACGCCTTTGGGCTTTTGCCTCTTGGTTATTGTGAACGAAAACCCTTAAATTTTGAAAAGACGACATCTAGTGTTCTATCTGTATTGTTATTAATTTATGCCTTTAATTAACTGTTAAACATGGCAACTTAGAAACCATATATACTAAATAAATATACTAAAAATCAATTAAGCAAATATATTTATAGCTTAATGCGCAGTATTGAAAACCCGTACACTTTCCAAGAAATTGGATTTTTGGCCACAAACCAAATTTTCTAATCCCTCTGTCTTTGCATCCTGATGGTGTAAATCTAGAATATCTTGTATCAAATACTCAATTCCTCAATATTTTACTAACTCTTGTTTATAAGGGACTTCAAACATTAATTTAATTAATTATAACGATTGATATGTTCCACGGTACTGAGCCCAAAACTTAAGACAGGGTATCGTCTCAGCTTTGTCTGATGTAATATGATAGAGCTTTCCATGTTTCTCTTTTTATGAATTGATAATTTCTCTAAAAACGTGACTTGCGGATTTTTACTTAGAGAAACAATGAAGTTAAAAATCAAAATTAAACACTTTAAATGCTCGAAAAATAACGTGTATAGTTTCTTTAAGACAGAGAAGAATGGGATTATAATTATCCTCGAAAGAATGTATAATAGCGGGATACATGAGAAGTTTTTTGTTCTCATTAAACTTGATATACTGACGAGTATTTGATATATCTATATCTCATAGAGTGGACCAGGGCTGGTTAACTTAAGGGGAAGAGGGGGGGAGTAAATGAGGTGGGTGGGCGATTACCTTGAATTTAGTAATTTTATTGAAAATGTTAAATTTTGAAATAAATTTTTATTAACAATTTATTTGTTTCCTCCTTTGATTTATGCCTGAGGAGAACAGTGAATAAACTAACTCAGTTTATTTAATTATACCCAAGGTTAATTTCAGTTTATAGCATTTGTATACACGTAGGAGAGAGAGAGAAATCCAGAGACCAGATGAGATGGGTTTAACCCCGTTGGAGGCTAATTGTAAAACCGTTGGAGGTTCACCGGAAATCTGTTGGAGGCTCATTGAAACCCATTGGAGGTTCCTTGGGAAACTGTTGGAGGCTCATAGTAAAATCGTTAGAGGCCACTTGTAAAAAGCGTTAAAGGGTCATTGCGAAACCTTAGGAGGCTCATTCCGAAATTGTTGGAGGCTCATTGTTAAACCGTGTTGGAGGTTTAATGTGAGACCGTTGGATTCGCAAAGGTTAAAATCATCCAATTAAAAAAAGAAATTTGAAAATTTAAAGAACTCATTATGAAAACGCTGGAGGCCCCTTGGAGGTCCGCAAAGGTTAAAATCATCCCATTAAAAAAAGGGCATCTAAAAATCAGAAAAATACTTTTTTCAAAATTTCCCGAAGAGATAGTCAAAAATGGCAAATAGAAATGAAGGATATAAAAAGGACGAGAAGAATAATTAAAATAGAATATTTTTGTATAATCTATGATTTGTATGATTTATAAAAACAATTAAATTGAAAAATATAATGAAAGAATCAAAAGAAAAGAAACACGACTTTGATCAAGACAAAGGTACTAATGCAAGGAAAGTTAATTGTAGTTGCGTATACTCTGCGTACATATTGAAACCAGAGCTGAAAACTTTAGAATGGTGGATATCAGGATTAATGCTTAATCCACTCTTTTTCTTAATCTTCAGATTAAATATTACTTATAATCCTCATGAACTTAATCTCCAGATTAATTAACAGATCGGGATTAAGGATATTCCATTCTAAAGTTTTCAGCTCAGATTAATTAACAGATCGGGATTAAGGATATCACATTCTAAAGTTTTCAGCTCAGTTCTCTCTGGGCGGAACAAGAATAGATGAATCAGTGTTCGTTTAGTATCCGAGGAGGTTAAAAGCATATAATTTTGATAATTTTGAAAATTCACATAATAGTTTCCTATCACCTATCACGTCATGTGTTTACTTTTCCGCCCAAAGACAGTTCACTACAGTACAAAAATGCGTACACCTCTAAAATAACTTTCCTTGCATTAGTTCCTTGGATCAAGACAACGTTTACAAACAGAAATCATGCAAGCACTTTGAGCATTTCAAAACCATAAGATTTTGATTTAAATATATTTCAAATTTGAAAAGAAGTTTAATAACTAAAAAAAAACAAGAAAAGTAAAACTCCTGAGAAACTAAAAAAATCTGTTTCGTAATGTTTCCTGATCCCAACCGTAGAAAATATGACGACAAAAATGTTTTCATATTTTTACGGACACCCCTATTTCAAGGTGTATCTTGTGTGTTAAAGAAAACCGACCTCAAATGACCCCCCTCGTGACCAAAGTGCAAAACATGAAAATTATGATTAAAATACAAAAACATCAAATATGAGATTCCTTTTTCGGAACGGTGATGCACTGTGCAATGAGAAGAATTATTAAAATTTCAAAATATTATGATTGAAAGTTGTTTTTCATGGAAAAATGAAAAAAAAACTACACCCAATATTTCTTATATAGGATATTTCATTGATAGGATATTTCAGAGATAGAACATTTCATAGACAGGATATTTTATAGATAGGATATTTCATTGATAGAATATTTCAGAGATAGAACATTTCATAGACAGGATATTTTATAGATAGGATATTTCATTGATAGAATGCTTCATAGATAGAACATTTCATAGTCAGGATGTTTCATAGAAAGGATATTTCATAGATAGAACATTTCATAGATAGAACATTTCATAGTCAGGATATTTCAT